GGCTACATCCAAGAGGAACACAAAAACCCTTTCCAAGAGTGCAGCTTTCAGTTAGATCAGTGTCTCTATCAGACCCTTACTCATCTCCAGGACAGGAACTTGCCACCAGTTTTTCTATACACTTTTGAAAGACATTATCACTAGAAGACATGGAAGGTCACTCAACACTATGTAACATTGTATGGTGTACGAGAAAAGTTGCCTTTTCAACTGCAAATTATCTTGGAGGCACACAATTCTGAAAGCACAGCCCATGAAATCCCTAAGTTTAGGGGATCTAAGATTTCAGGGCATGTTTACACAAGGGGTGTTTGTTTCAAAGGGAAGAGTGAGTGCCTCAGAGATCTGGAGAGCTGCACAGATACATAACTCCTGACAACTTCCAACACAACAGCTCCTGAAAATCATGCTCCATGATCAGCAGTACTTCAGCAGATGAAATATTTTATATTTCTGATGTACAACAAACACTAAACACTGTATTCACTGATTAACGGGGAAAAACAAGATACAAAGCTGCCAACTATTCAATCCACACAGTTCCTTAAGCAAGAGAAGCTGTAAAGTTTGCCAGGGCAACAACTCCAGAAAGGCAGTGCTGCTAGAGTTCTTATCAACATGTACATTGATGCAAGTCTAGTCATTGCAATATTCATATAAGAATTTTAAGATATGCTATAAAACATAACTCTCTAATGAACAGAGGAGAAGGCTGTTGGCCAAGTGTGGTACCCAAGACAACGTGTTTAATTAGTACAGTAAAAAGATGAGGAAAAGCTCCTCTGGATAATCAAAGATAACTTTGAAATGTAACACTAATGTTTTTGGGAAAAAAAAAACTAGGTCATGAACCAAAGTGTCTCGGTTTCCTAGCACTGCTGAAGGGGTTTGTTTTCACTTATTCTAACACCATAGATTGCTTTTGAGAAAGATTAACCAGTCTACAAATAATCCCTTGATTTTGAGTTGCTTTACTGATTCACATTAACATGTCAAGCAAGCATTTCCCTCTGCGATGTTCCCACTGTCTTTTATCAGAAGCCTTTTCCTCTGCAGGCTGAAATTATTTTGCCTATTATTGGGTTTTAGATGTTGAACACGATCAGCCTCCTCAGCTGACAACTCCAGCCAATTTGGACTATATCCTCAGTAAGGTTCACAGCAGGTTCAAGTATTTTCTGTAACACAGTCCTCTTCCATCCATTTCCTTGTCTGCTTGCATGACAGCAACATAGCTAAAGCATCAGCCACGTGATGCAGGATCTCTTGGCCCTATCCTGGTTTTCACAGACCACATGAAAATGCAAGAAGCATGTTCAAAACCCCTT